GACATATTTTGGGTGAAAACCATCACCCAAATTCGTGATAAAGGTCTATCCTTTGCTGCTGTAAATTCTGGAAAAGTTTTCTAAGACTGCAAGCATACAGTTGCACCATCTTCAACTGGTTGCAGTGTTTTGGGAAGACCAAAGCTTGGGTGTAAACACCATTTCTATCTCTGAATTTGTGGGCATCATAATCAGGTACTACATTCATTCTTGATCCAATGATTTGATCTTTCTTGGTCCAATAACCCCAAACGATCCAAGGAGAAAAACCAGTTTTCTCACTATGTGCTTAGGATTTCTAGAAAATTTTGAATTTCAACCTCTCTAATTACTGAAATTTTACACATAATGATCACTTCATCTTTCATTCCTGAAGCTTCACCCAATCCCAGTTATGTCTCCTTAGTGCTGACACCAAGATTTCCTTGTAGAAAACCTACCACTTCCACTTCCAGCAAACAACTATCACCCATTCCATCATTTTTCTAAAGCCGTGATATGACAATCCTTTCTTTGATGATCCTCTAAAATAGCAATAACATTTCAGGGAAGACCAGCCTCACCCACCATAGAGTGGCACCTATCTTAGTGTTGACAGTCAAGTAATGGGTCCTCCACTTCATCGGAAATTTCATTTCCTCCTGACTGCACCAACACTTCCACTAATGAAATAGAGGGGAAAAAACAAGCCTGAAATCCCAAATCTCTTCTCCTTCAACTTTGAGTTAACAGTAGACATGCAGGTCTGACCTGAATCTTTTTCTCGAAGAAATAGTGACTACCCACTCCAAAGATTCCATTTTCCACAGTCTTCCCTAAATCTTCTCCCCCTACTTTGTTTCTTTAGTAAGAAGCATTTTCTGCCCCAGATTTTTTTATGATAAATAACTTCAAATGTTATTGAAACTCAAGGTAATGAAACATTACAAGCATCCTTTAAAGAGGTATGAGGTGCTACCGCTCTATATTGAATCAAAATTCAAATTACAATTAAGCCCAAAACAAATAAGTCTTATTCACCCTTTGCTTGGCTAATACATCCCCATTCCATTTGCTGATCTCCTCACCCATTGTATCCTCAAGTTCATATTCCTGGTAAGCCATTTAAATTTTTTCATTTCACTCTTGTAGCACCATATTATGGATTTTGGATCCTTTATCCATCTCACCACCAATTTTGAGCCCCCTTCAACCACCACATTCTCTATGTTCAATTCATTAGCAATCTGCACTCCTTGTACTACAGCATGTAATTCTGCTTTGAGGGAATCACCCATACCCACAGGACCAGAAAACAGCACTATGAGTTTACCTTCTATATCTCTCAAGACCCCTCCTATTCCATAAGGGCTTGTTTTACCTCAACTTCACCCATCAATGTTCAGCTTTACAAAGCCTTCAGGTGGAGGTAGCCAATGAACATCTAGTCTTTCCTTTCTAGAAGAGTTCTGGCCACTACTTCCCTATTTTGCCAGACAATATCAACGGAAAACTGAGATAGCTCCATAGTCTTGATCCAATGGAGCACCCTGACCATCACACAATCCTTGACCTCTTCCTTGCTTCTTTCCTTCCCTAAGAAAATTATTGCATTCCTCTCTTCCCAAATACTCCAAACCAAGGCTGCTCACACACATATCCACATTATTCTTCCCCTCTTTTGGGCCAAGTAAACATAGAATAGAAGGATCAATTTTGGGCCAAGTAAACATAGAAGGATAAAATAGCATATTAACCTCTGTTGGTAAAGTCCACCTACACTCAAACAAAGAAAAAGGAACAATTCCAAATAGCTGCAACAAAGAGACAGGAAATCACTAAGTGATAGAATTTCTCATTATTAGATTTACACAAAGCACACCAATTAGGAGGTAGACATGCATTGGGTCTTCTCTTCTGTAGCATATCCAAAGTACTGATCTTCCCATGAACTACTTCCCAACAGAAAGCTCTTATTTTGGGTGAGATGAGTCTACACCAAAACTCTTTAAAGGGGAAAGAAGGAGACATCGAGGAATTTAAAAAGAGACTTGAACAAAGAAGCACAGGAAAACAATGGGTGGCTCTAATAGTGTTTATTCCGGTTCTTCTCTGGCTGAAAGCTCTGACTAATGAAAGGGTCTTGAGCAAGACGATGATAGACCCTGATTTTGGTCTACCATCAAATGAGAATGAAATAAACTTATGTTCACTTAAAACCCCACTTGACCGATCCCTATCAATAAATCGCTCACATGCTGCACTAGTTCCCCACCTCCCCCAATCACTTGAAACTTCTTTCACTCCTCTAAGGTTATCTTTAGGTGCATGTGATTGCACCAAGTGACCAACATCATCATATTTGTACAATATATATTTAGATTTTTACAATATATATTTCTACTTTTTGACAAACTCCTGGGAAACAAAAATCAACATAAACATCATCATCATCCAAGACTAATCCCAGGTCGGCTACATGAACCTGTTTCACCATTCGATTCTGTTTAAATCCATATCCATTGTTGAACTGTGAGTGCTTAAATTATTTCTTACTACTTTGACCCATGCCTTTTTTGTCTACCTCTAGCCCTTCTAAGAAACAGGAATTATCTTAAATATTACAATTCAATTTGATTCAACCTTTCTACAATGAAGAGATTTTCATAGCGATACATGTAAGAACAAATCCTGACACTGACCAAGATAGTATGTTGACATGAAGATTGAGCAGGCAACCAAGTGCACAAAGCACCAATTTGTATCTGCACATGAACTCCATCTCCAATGGGCGAACTCAATGCTAAGTTTAAAACAAATATAAGGTGACACAATTTAGCAATTAGTAATTCCATATGACTCTGAATAGATGATACTGCTAAAATTTTAATTAGTATAGACTATAAGCAAACTGACATATAATGCATGAGTTTATAAGTCCACCTATTGGGCCCATGGGTTTTACATATGTAGAGAACACTGATGTGGGCCCCACAGCTGTGGTCCCCACTGTGTTCGTAGGACAGTATGTGTAATTATTTGTCAGTCATGTTAGTGTTAGTTGGTGGTCAGTTTGTTATTTCAGTTGTTATTTATTTCAAATTTTTATTTGCTTTATTTGTCATGTAAGTACTAAGGGCAGATCTGTCCTTTTCCCTTATGTACTGAACATAACATATAAATACTAAGAGAGTGGCGGCAGCAGATCAATGAGAATCTGTCCCTTCTTTCAAACCTTTGTGTTCTCCAGTTCTTCTCCTCTCTTTTCTTYCTTTCTCTTACTTTTCTTCTACCTTTCCTAATCTGAAATCTATTAGGGTTCAAGGCTGATTGTAGTCTTGATTGCCTACTACATAAAAGGCAATTTAGAAGCCTAAGGGTCTCAGAGAGTCTTTTCCCAGTTTTCTCCTGTCTATGATAAAATATAATTTCTAAATCTGTCTATTAAATCTAACAAATGTGTTGATAACTTTACTTTGTTTCATTAGTTGTGAATATTTACAATGGAAATAATGGCCAGAGTTTGAAGTAACTAACTCTTTTTTTTATTCAATTCCATTTGAACATTTTGAGTATTTACTCTCTACATAAGGAACTTGTTATTTAAAGTCGCATTTAAAATCCAGAAAGAGATTTATTTGGTCATGGGCTTAGCTAAGAAGGCTCAAATACAACAGTATTTGTTTTATCTCTTTATTCCCCTTCTGTTACTAATACAATGAAACTTTTAGGAAAAGCATAGACCTGAGGTAGGGTGTATTCAGTGAAATAATGGGATCTATGAGGCCAGTCTCTCTAGAAGAAGGTTATTAAGTTTAGATCAAGGAAAGGGACGGAAATCTAGGGAAAATGTGCAGGAGATGAAAGAAATAGAGCTGATACATTGCACAGGACTGGCTTTGAGAAGAATTGGAAGGATATACTGGGATAAGTGATTGTAGATACATAATTCTGCAGTGTAACATATGTTTTTGGCATGACAAGGCTAAGGATTACAGATACATAATTCTCTCATTTTCCAAAGAAAAAACAATAATATATGTTTCTTGTTCTAGTCCCCATGATCAAGGAAATTCAGTTCAGACAAGCACTCACCGAGAGAAAGAGAGAGAGAGAGAGAGAGAGAGAGAGAGAGAGAGATTTGCTAACCATTGGCTCCATATATGCACAAATACACACAATCCAAAACTTAAGCGTGCTTTGTCAAAGATTTTCATATGTGAAACAATGTCAAGGCATTTGAAGCTATCCATAGGAACCTAGGAGTAGCTCCAGTAGGTGATAAATGAGAGAAAGTAGACTAAGATGGTTTGAGCACGTGCATAGAAGACCACCAACTGTGCCAGTTAGAAGAAGTGATTGGTTACACATTGAAGGAGCTAGAAGAGCTCGGGGTAGACAAAAAAGGACATGGGTAGAAATTCCCATATAGTTGGGATAAGGCATGGATGATGATGATGTATTCTGAAGCTAAGATTGGTAGTGCCTAGGAGAAGATTATTGCAATTTGAAAGAAATTCCCAAAAACAAGGTATTTTTCTCTTACACGTGTATTAAACAGAATAAAAAGAAAAGGAAGCAAAAAAGAAGTTAAAAAAGGAGGGATATTATTTTACAAATGAACAGATCTTGAAGCCAATAAGCAGTGTGTTACAAGGACACCCCAATACATCTCATTTTTTCCTTCAATATGTTCCCTTGAAATTAAATACACAAAAAAATACAGAAAGAGGGAAAGGTCTATGGTGAAGTGAAAATTAAAAAGTAATCAAACCCAATACTTGTACCTTCTTGTTTGCTGATCAAAAAAATATATATATTCATACCTTCTTGTTTTACTTTACTTTTTTATTTTTTGTGCAAACACGCTCCTTTCATCAATAGCAAAATCCTTGAAAATATATGTAAAAAGATACAAGCTCAGATTTGCTTATTTTTTTAACCAAAGTTCTTTATCAATGAGCTGTCTCAATATATCTCAAGATAATTTCTTCACCCTTGAAGAGTTTCATAGAACTTACCAACTTTATCCTGTAAAAAGAACAAACCATGGATGTCAAACTCAAAACAAATATATAAAAGAACAAAAGAGTACTTAAAATTGCATCCCCCAGCATCAAGAAAATCATAACAGACAACATGAAGTAATGTATTTTCCAACATGTCTTATAGATCAATAAAAGTAAATGAATGACAAATCTTAAAAGGGGAGGACCAAACCAAAGTTAACATAACATCAGTCATCTTCTAGAAAATTTATAAGAATCTGTAGGATACACCAAGCTAGATTCCCAACTCAATAGAACCTAAAATATGTAATGAACTGATATACCATTTCTTCTTTGAAGATAAACATAACCCAACAAATCAACACTAAATTGAAGGGATAGGTATATGCCACTAATATGAAAAGTAATTTCATTTTAACCTCCAACTGAAAAGGAAAAAAAAACATGAAATACCATTCAAAAGGAAGTAGAATTTTAAATTGACAAGTATGGCTCATCATATGATGATCCATATACAAAGATTGACGCCGAGGAAGGGATATCACGTCCATTTTATATGGTAAAACAAAAATCATTAAAATAAAAGAAAGTATAAGAAAGGTGATAAGAAATCACACAAAAGAATAATTCAAAAAAGCAACCACGTTTATTCATCAAAAAAGAAGAAAAAAAAACAACCACACCAACCAACCAACCACCCTACACTCAAACCAGCATCCTTTGCAAATACCCTGATACAAAAAAAAACCAAAATCACATATATACAAGAACGCCCTTTCTAGCATAATTCACCAATAAAAATAATGCATACCCAAAACTTATGTTGTCAAAATTACATCAATCCTCACAAGAATGCCTACTCCTCTCTGACCTACCTCCTAACATACACCCCCACAACATTTGTTTTGATGTCTATGCCTAGTAAGTGGAAATCTTAAAATGCTGTTAAGTCCCAAAGATATTATTAATATTAAAGAGAATAACTCAAAATTGATTATTTATCATATCATTAGTTATAATTGAACTTCAGGCAGAGGTATCATTTCCATTTCAATATCTACATAAATAACTAAAATTTTGGGAGTATTTTCAAGTACCAAAAACATATTAGTTGTAAAGATCATACCATCTATAAAATATCAAACAATACTCATTCAATTTCAGCCCAATGATTTATTGTCAGACCACTACCATTCAAGGGAGACGCAAATTAATCTCATCTACAATAGTCCCTTTTTGGTCGGTTGCAATTTAAGAACATTTTTCTTAGTTCTCTTCCCACATTTGGCTTAGTAAACTGTATTCATAAATAATTAAAAAATAAATAAAATAACCAGTGCAATCTTTTACCTCCCTTATTCTATGGAGCTTGTCCTTCAAACAAAACACTAAACTACAAGTTGCTCCTAGTTGTCTAGAACTTAAGTAGGTATTCTAAAGTTTGGCTTCTTCCCCGTTCATTCAAAAAGAAAAAAGTTTGGTTTCTTCTCATCAGATGTACTTCAATACTACTATTCTTGATTGTATTATTAAACTTTTATTGGAAACAAAAATAGTCCCACTAACCCTGATTACAGATAACAAATGCATCCTCATTGAATTTTTATCGCGCATTCACTATAGACAACAATGAAGAATTAATTTGAAGACGTATTCAAAGAAAAAGAATCAAAATGAATCTCACCATGAAAACTGGGGAAATGTAGTAATCGCCTTGAAGATACTCAAACGATCTAGTCACCTTTTGCCGGTAATCAAACACAATATCCGCTGCAAATATATATAAACAAAAGGAAAAACAGTTACTAAGTTCAAGCGATCAACCAAGAAGTTCAAATGCTCCTTTCTCTTCTCAATCAAAACTTACAATCTTTTCCGAGGAAGGTTCCTACGAAAAGATCATCGATGATCCCTGCCTTAGCTCCCACAGCAATGTTCATGTTATCTGCCTCTTTCCCCAGCCTATAGAGATAATCCCTCCCCTGCGAATCCTTCGCCTCCCACGACGACTGTTTAGAGATCCTCTTAGGTTGATCCTTTGCATTCTCTCCATCAAAAGATTCCTCAGAAGTTGTCCGAGAACAAAGAGAGAATGAAGTCGAAATCCTTTTAGAGGAAAAGAAAGATATTGCAGGGTTTGAAATTCTATTGAAAGGGCGATACGACCAGAAATATCGCTTAGGGAGGAAGAGCTCCGTACTGCGGTTACAGAGCGCCATGGCTTATTGCTTTCTTCGGCCTTATCGTGCGCAGCTGCCCGGCATGTATTTGGCGCCACAAAGAGAAATAACATGAATTCCAACGACCGTTTTATTTTATCCACTTCGAGTTTGGAGCCTCGTGCATTGAAGTTGGGATCTGCTCCTCACTAGGCGGTCCTCACACCGATCTCACAGACAGTGGCTGTCGGTCACATCCCATTATGTATATCTCTCTATCAATAATAAATACAAGTACGAGAAATATTCTAAATGTACAGAGTCAGGACATGATGTGAAGAGAGTTCTATGAGTCCTTTAATATATAAAATTATATATTCTTCTATTTATATATTACAAAGTAATATACGACTTTAAGATGAGGTTAAATTCACATCTGATTTAATTATTAATCCAATGCAAATTGTAAAATCTGAATTCATTATGTAAATAGATCATCCGGATCTGAAATAATAACATCAAGTATTGGACTTTTGAAGTCTCTTGACAACTCTAACCGTGTTACCACATCAAAAGTGAATAAGGATCGGTCGCAAATATAAAATATGGTTGCATGAGCTTAAATGTTTACATCTATTTATTTGATTAAGCTTAACTGTTTATATAATGATGATACAGCTTAAGCATCATTGCTAAAATATAAGGCCATTTTCATGCTTTTATACTCATTAATGAATGATCTATTATGTCTTGTTGAATAGTTTATATTATTTGTGCATCATTGATTTGGTACTCTTTTCTTAAGCTTAATTGTTTGTTATCATTTTCATCAATGGTTTGGCATCATAAAAATGGGAGAATGTTGATCTTATGTGTTTTGATGATAATAAACTCATTAGGAGTATTAATAGTGTGTTAAGTTTGTAATTAATCTAAGTAAGATTTTTTGAGTTATATTTATGTTAAGTAAACTTGTTGATAAAAACAAAATGGAAGCATTACTTGATTCAATTGTCTAAGCTTCACATTTCAACATCACTTTTAATCTTTCCAATAAAGATGCTCCTAAAGCTCTGTTTGAAAGAGTATAAATGTAAATTTGTAGAATGCAAAACCTACATTTTGTATCATTTTGTATATATTTGTCCTGTRCATATTTGTATTTATACTCTTTCCAAATAGAACCTAAGAAATTCAAGCATGAAAATACTACAAAAAGGAACATCAATAGGTTGATCAAGAAGGGGATTTTAAGTCTCTTTTGGCCGCTAATGATAGAAGATTGGTGGTCATGGGGCAGATGTTCAGTCCATGTTTTAGTTTGTTGTTGCAGTTTAGCAGGTTGGTTTGGTTGACATTAGTTATTTGGTTATATTGGGAACCGCTTCACTTGGTGTAACAGTAGAGAGGGCATTGATAGTATATGGGCTTAGTTGGACAAAATACTAGTTAATCCGATTCGGCTTTCCGGTACATGGTGGTGAGTCCGCATTCTCTGCACCTGTTGGTGTACTGGACGCATGAACCTGCCAATCAGAGATGACCACGTCGTCTGTGAAAAATAACACTAACGTTAACGGGAAGGTGGCAGTTAATTGGAGTGTGGGGTTGAACCTACACAAAAAGACAATGAAACCCCTCTCAGTCCCGGTCTTAGTTCGAACTTTGAACCCTGTCTCCATCGACGGCCATCGTCCATCGGCGGTCATCTCCTCTTCTTTTTCTTGCGGTGTTCCTTGCTTCAGGTCACCTTTGATCTGTTCAAAACATCACACATGGCCGCTGGTGTTAGCTGAGCTCCAGATCACCTTCGACCTGTTCAAAACAAAAAACAAGGAACACCTTTTGGAAGAAGAAGAAGAAGAAGAGAGGAGGAGGAAAGAAGAAGGGGTGGAGCCCCTGTTTTTATTTCGAAAACAGAAAAAGTAGAAGGGACGGAGCCCCTGTTTTTGTTCCAAAAGCCGAAAAAGTAAAAGGGCTACGCCCCTGCTTTTTGTTCCAGAAGAAGAAGAAGAAGGAGAGGAGAGGAAGAGGAGGAAAGAAGGGGCGGAGCCCCTGTTTTTTTTCCAAAAAAAGAAAAAGAAGGGGCGGAGCCCCTGTTTTTTTTTCCAAAAAAAGAAAAAGAAGGGGCGGAGCCCCTGCTTTTTTTTCCAAAAAAAGAAAAAGAAGGGGCAGAACCCCTGTTTGTTGTTCCAGAAGAAGAAGAAGAAGAAGAAGAAAAGCATGCCTTCTATGTACCAGCGTCGGAGTCTCGCCGTCGATGGTTGATGACAGATGAACGGTGGCCGGTGTCGTGTGCTCTCCGATGTGTTGGAGTTGGAGGGTTCGAGGAGGAGAAAAGAGAAAATAGGTGACATGGTTCAAAGTTCAAATTAAGACCGGGATTGGGAGGGGTTTCATTGTCTTTTTGCGTCAGACATTCAATTAACGGCAACCTTCGTTAATGCTACCCTGTTTTTCAGGGATGACTCATTGGCGGGTTCATGCGTCCGGTGCACCCACGAGTGCACAAAATGCGGACTCCATGGTGGTAGACATTTGAACAGAAGTTGTTCTGATCATTCCACTATTGTTTTTTCGATTCTAGAGAATGCCATCCAAAGGTTTTAGTGAAGTCGGGTAGAGCTAAGACGGGTGCTCGGGTCATCAACTCCTTGAGTTGTTGAAACTTGAAAAGCTGCTTCTGATTCTGGAATCGGTGAATGAATTCTTCTTAAGCATGTTTGTCAGCGGTGCAACAATGCGTCCATACCCTTCTATAAATTTTCGGTAGTACCCAGTAAAACCCAAGAAACCATGCATGGACGTGAGAGATTTAGGTTTCAGCCACTCCACCATAGCTGCAATTTTGTCAGGATCTACTGCCACCCCACATGGCTGATGATATGGCCAAGATACTTGACTTCAGTAGGGTTTGGAGAGTGCCAAGGACAGCAACTAAATGTTGGAGATACTGGTCCCATGAGGAGCAGTAGATCAAAATATCATCGAAAAAAACTAGGACAAATTTCCTTAGGTAATTCTTAAAAATGTCATTTAATGATGGTACTCTGACCTCAAAGTCCAGCTTACTGAAATAATTAGCACCATGTAATTCATCAAATAATTCATCTATGATTGGAATGGGAAATTTATCTTCGACCCTTACTGATTTAATGCACTATAATCTACACACACGCCACGTGCCATCTTGCTTTTACTAAAATCACTGAAGAAGAGTAAGGACTGCAACTGGGTTGAGAACCATGCCAGATGCTAGAAGCTCTGCAACGATTCTCTCAATTTCTGTCTTTTGATAATGTGGGTATGGGTATGGACGTACATAGACTGGTCCAGCTCCAGGTGTGAGGGTGATTCTGTGATCATGGGCTCTGACAGGAGGAAGCCCATGTGGCTCACTAAACACGTCCTTGAACTGTTGCAAAACCCGCCGTAGTGAAATTGGCTTGTGTGCTGCGTAGCTGTAACATTACTCCTTTCTCGTTCTTCCTAACGGCCTTCTCGTAGTTGTGCTCATGGGTCTTAATTAATGGTTGCACACCATGCAATGTAACCTCCTTCCCATTTAAGCAAAACCGCATCTGCAACCCTTTAAAATCCCACCATATAGGACTGAGAGTGGATAACCATTGGGTCCCTAATACCACCTCATACCCATCTAATGGTAAGAGGTAAAAATCCAACAACATTGGCTCCCCTTGTAAATACAATTTCACACCCGTGCATTTTCCAACTATGAGAGCCCAACCCGTTGAGAGAGTTGCGGACTGAGAAAATTATGTGTGCTCCCTAAGACGATGAGAACTATCACCTTTTTGCCATCAATTTTCATAATTCTTGGTGCATGAGAAGCAGAGATGGAATGAAGTCCGGGTGTGTCACCTGATTCTTCTTCAATTTCTATCTCAACATCTCCGTCCTCTTACTCCCAACATCCTTCAATTACAAGAAAGACGTTTGCATCGGTGCCCGGGTGCAAACTTTTGGTTACAAGAGACCCTTTTCACGCCGTTCCCACAGTTCATTAGGTGTCATCCGTGATGATGCACAATGCAGCCACTCTTATCTGGAAGCGATTGAACTTCTAGCTGACATCTGGCAAGAGATACCTGCGCGAAGAAAAATGAAGGAACCCGGGGTTGCTCACCCGGTGGGAACACTCCGATGCTTAAGTTAGTATTCGGCTGCGAGCTGGAGAATAATAAGTTTGCAAGAAGATGAGAAAGCTAGAGAGTGGTGAATATGCGATACCTTGGCCCCTGGGGGGTTGGAGTCTTTATATACTAACATTATGGCAGGTTTCTGAGGGGTTGATCCCAAATCTCTGCCGCGGTGATCTGTTGTTAGGTAACGCTCTGGAGTGATTGGCCGTTATCGTCAGGACTGGGGAGCAGGTGGGTTAATGCGAACGTTTTATGGTACGGTTCCGCCAGGCAGGGGACAACCTCCGGGGTTGGCAGGCACGATGCCGCCAGGTGAGAAACAATGAGTGCAGTCCTCAGAGTTGGCAGGTGATGCGCCGCTAGGCAAGGGATGTGGGTGCAACTTTCAGGTTTGACAGGTACGGTTGTTAGACAGGAAGCTTCTCACGGGGCTCAGGGTTACTTGATAATGGACCCTATAGCGAGCTATCTTGTGGCGAGCTACTTGCGTCGAGCTGCTGATGGCATGCCGAGGTGATTTTACCCAAGGTGAGTTGTCTCCGAGGTGGCTTATTAGCCTGGTCTGCTGTGAACTTGGTTGTTTTAGTCTGCGAACTGGGATGGACTTGACCCGAAGTATCTTCAACTCGGGACATTATTGTACCCGAGCTCGTTCAGAAGCGAGCTGATACTTGCTGAGTTGTCTTCTATGTCATGTCATGTCCACGTGCCGATTTTCTCATGTTGAGTTACCATTTATGTCGAGTCACGTACACGTGTCGCCTGCTTATGAGGTCGGGCCAAATCACCCTTCATCAATTGCCCCCCACTCCTCGAGCTAGGGGTTCTGACTTGGTGCGGGGAGTTCATGATGTGACGAGTGGATTTGGCTCGGAGTTCAGGCTGCCCCGTCAGATCGCGTATAGCTTACGCGCGGATGTCACACGAACTATAAGTCCCGCGGACGCCAAAAAATGCGCTAAACTGTCTTTGGTCTCGAGGGTCGTGCAGCCGGTTTTCTTGTGAACCATCAGATTGCCTTGATCTGGGCCGTTGCTTTTTCGATACAGTGGCTATAAATAGGAGGTTCTGAGACTCATTTTTCACACCAAAAGCTCTTGCCTTCGACTTGAGGTCACGCTCTAGTTTCGTTAGCTCGGGTCTTCCTAGTTCGCATTGCTTCTTCAGTCCGGTCATCCTTCTTTGGTAAGTCATTCTTTGCTTTTCATTTCAGTTTGGTTGTAGTTATGTCTTCTAGTTTTGATAGCCTTTTAGATGAGGCCGAGGTGGGTACCTCGGCTCGAGTCAGTAGCCGAGACGAGGCTACTTTGGGCTTAGGGTGGCCCATGGTCTTCCTGAGGGTCAGTCTCCCTCAGAGGCTCGGGAGGCCTTCAATAACTTGGCATCCACTTCTCACCGAGGTCGGGAGCCAGACAACTTCGGTTCCTCCTCCATGACTTTGGATAGGCTCTGGACTCTGGTACTTTGGTATAAACTCCCGAGGGAGCTTTCCTATCGTCTCCCTTTAGGTAACTTCCCTTGGGGGCACGATCATAATGAGATCGTAATCTTGAAGAACAGCTCGCGGCTGGTCTTCGTCTTCCTTTGCACCTGTTAATCGTTGAGGTCCTTAAGCTTTTCACTGTTACCGTAAACCAACTACACCCGAACTCTGTTCGAAATGTGGTAGGGACTATCTCCCTTTTCCATGAGTACTGTCTCCCCCTTAACCTTGAAAATGTTTCCTCAATTTTGTCTATAAAGAACGCTTCCCGTGGTGCCCTTGCACACAAGCGATCTTACTACTTGTCCCCCCACCCGGGCTACAAGCTTCTTCACAAGCTACCCAATAAGATCCCGGCCTAGAAACAATACTACTTTGTGGTCCATAATCCCAAGGGGTGGACCTTTCCAACTCACTAGAGGGCTGCTATTCAGGACCCTGGTGTCAGGCTAGACCTAAAGATGAGGGAGGCGCTTAAGTCCTGGGCAGAGGTCGGTCTTATCTGCGCGGAGTACCTTATCGAAGATAAGCTCGTGCAGGCCGGTTTGAGTCCTGGTAGGTCACTTTGGGTTTTTTCCTTTTTGACGTTTTGATAGCTCGTGCTAACCTTATTTCTTGCTCTTTGCAGCTACAATGCCAGAGGTCGACGCACGGAGCCTCCTGATGAATTCCTGAAAGGGGAAGAAGAGGGTAGCAAAGAGGTCGTGTTTGGACGAAGCTTCAATGTCCAGGGCATCCGAGGCCCAAGTCGCAGGGCCAAATCCTACCGAGCTCCCAACCGAGGAGGCCCAACCCGCGGTCCCCGAGGTGGAGATTATAGAGGATGGTGACGAGGAGGTTCGTTCCCAGGGGTCAGAGGACAAACTTGAGCTACCTCTAGAGGAGTCTGCTACCGAATTAGAGTTCACTCCTACTGCAGACGAGCAGAGCATCACGAACCACGTGCTCACGGTGCAGGATGAGGTTGTGCGATGGGCCAACATCATCCCGAGGCGGCTTCTAGGGATGGACTCCACTCACTACATGATCGTAAGTACTTCATTCTTTTGTCAATTTTTTTACCTCAATTTTTCTTTTGGCAGGTGAACTCTACCCTTCATGCGCTGGTGTGTCAGTCCGCGATCCAGTCCAGTCAGGCTCGGGATGCCAAGGTGGAGGCACGACAGCTCCATCGGGAGCTAGGCTCAGCTCGGGGTGAAGTACTTCGGGCGAAGAAGGGAAATGAAGCCCAGAAAGCGATGATCATGGAGCAAGAGGGGCAAATCTCTTCATTGACCGAGGATAACGCCAGGCTCAGGGAGCAGGTCTCTATTATGGCTGCGAGGGAGGAGGAATAGTCTGCGAAGGTGGCTGAGGAGAGGGCATAGCTCCATCAGAAGATTCAGAGCCTCAAAGCCATGATCCAGGAGCGAGCCCGGGCCTTTGACATCGCTGTTGAGGAGGCTTGGTCGGAAGAGAGGGCTAAGGCTGTGGATCACTTCAAGGAGTCCTCAGAATTCCATGATCTCCAGGTCGAGTATGGGACAAGCTCTTACCGTTCTGGGTTTAAGCTCTGTAGACACCTGGTTCGGCGGGAGTTTCCTAACCTTGACCTCGGGGCTGTTACTATGAAGGGCCTGCCTTCGGAGGCAGGAGATGCAGTGAACGAGGAGCCCGACTCATCAGAAGAGGAGGGCGACGACGAGGAGGAAGTGGTGGATCCCTCCATATGATGTCTTCCTGTTCTTTTCTTTTTGAGTTGTGAATGTACTTTCCTGGGTTGTTGAGCCCGATTTTCTTGTAAAATAGACCTTTTAATGAAATATTTTTGCTCAAAGTGATCTTTTCCTTGATTTGACGCAAGTAT